TCGAAAGAAAAAAAGTAGAGAGATAGAGTAGAGAGAGATAGTAATAAAGGGCAAAAATGTCCAAGGGGGGCGGTGACTAGTAATAAGGGGGGCGGTGAATAGTAATGCCCAATTTATATCAACGCGTTCTAAATAATTATATTTACATCAATAATTGTTGGACCCTTGACTTTTACCCCAATATTTTTTAATTACACGTTATTTCAGCACATAAATAATAATAATAATATTAATAGAACTAATAATAATAATAATAATAATAATAATAATAATAATAATAATAATAATAATAATAATAATAATAATAATAATAATAATTTCCAATCAATTTGTTGGTCACCATTCCTAAAAATTATAAAAATTGTATTATTTACAATTTATGTTATATTTTGATTCATATGTAAGTTTTGCAATTTGTATATATATTGTTCACTTTTAGTAATTGTTAAAATTTTAAAATGTGATACACTCATTATCTAACTTATAATTTTAGATAATACTAGCATTCGATCATATGCACATGCAAAGATATAACACTAAAATTATAAGTTTTGTAATAAAAATATATTTTAAAATTTTGAACAAATAGTAAAAATAAGAAATACAAAACTATCTAGTTGCATATTAAAAACTATATTAATTGGATAAAATATAATGAATAATGTAATTTTTATAATTTTGAAGGATCATACCAATTAATCAGTTGAAAAAAATAAACAAACTTTCTATTTTAAAAGGTTTGGCTCTAAATGCAACACTCATCATTACAAAAAAAAAAAAAAAAAAAAAAAAAAAAAAAACCTTTTTCCCGGCTCCTCCTTGTTCACAAATCTTGCCGGCGATTTGACCTCTCCCAACGGACAATTGGCTGCCGGTGGGCAGGTTCCTGCTGCGCGACCACGCCATGGTTCGCTAAGCTCCCTTCCCTCGTCTCATGCGCCGGTGGTCGAAGATGGCGATTTTCGACGAAAATCTTAGGGTTGCCTCAAAGGTTGCCGGAGTCCTTGTGTGGCGAGGATGGGTGGAGCGCGGCGACTATGGCTGGATGCAGCTCTGGCTCAAGTCGCTCACGTCTTCCTTATTCAGGTTAATCCTCTCCTCAATTTCTGTCGACGGCCTCGTTCCGGCTTCTGCTGGTCGGTAGCGGTTGACTCTGGTTTTCTGCTTGCTGACTCTCTGGTGCGGAAGAGGATGGGCTGGGGTTTGTTTTCAGGGGCTGGAAGGGGAGCTTGAGATGGTGATGGTTGTGGTGGGTTGACCGGGCTTTGTTGTCGATTCTGGTTTCCCTTCTCCCCTGTTCTCTGGTGCTGAGCCCGGGGGAGGACCATTGTTTCCGGAGTGGGCTAGTGGTGTTAGCCTTTTTTCGGGTTCGGTAGATGGTTTGGGAGGAGTCGGTATCTACTGGCAGGAGAGCGGGCGTTTCTTGGATTGCTTCGGGGTGTGGGTCTTCGCCTTTGTTAGGCATTCGACAGCAGTGGCGGACGTGGTTCTTGTGTCCCGAATCTCCTCTAGGAGTCGTCTTATATCCTCTTGTTCAGTTCGGATGTTCTGCTGAGGGAGGGCTTGATTTATTTGCGTTTTGTTTTATGTTTATGTGTGTTTTGTGTTGTTTGGAGTCTGTCGTAGGTTTGTTTCTTTGGTCTTGTATTTTTGGTTTGGACTATTTGGTCTCTCTGAGTCCGGGTGTAACTTTATTATCCTGTTGAGACTCTACACTCCAGTATTATCCCTGTTGGGATCTTTTTAGTTGTTTCAGTTGTTTGTGTAGTACTTCAGTTTAGTTGCGAGTATTTTTATTCTAGCGTGCTAGTCGGGATTCAAGGCGGTCTTCTGACCTGTCCTCCCACTTTTTCAGTCGTTGACTACTGCGTATTCAGCTGTTGATTGTTGTGTATTCAGTTGTTGGTTGTTGTGTATTCGCACATTTGTGCATTTTGATTTATAATAAGTTGTGGCAAAAAAAAAAAAAAAGGTTTACCATTAACACCAACTAGTTTACATAAAAATTTGACCCAACAAAAATCACTATATAAGTTTTTATATTTTAGTAATTTTCAGTGTAAAACTTTTATATAATAGAATAGCCAAAAATATCTATAATTATTATTTGATTAATATAAAATGTACGGTTTTTGTCATAATTGCCCTAAATAAATAGTGGGAACCAAATTTTTTTTTTTCATTAAACTATTTGTCCCTCTTTATGATTATATTGAAGAAAATATGGAATTGTAACGCTTTTGGTGGGAAATTATTGATGTTTATTAATTGTTTTGCTAATAATTATATATATATATATACATATTATGAATAATATTTTATTTGTATACGTGCATGTGCACAACATCAACTATTAATTTTAATGCTTTATTTAATAGCGCCAATTAGTATATTTATAATTCTTCTATTTTTTTGAATAATTAGTTGCTAAAAAGTCGTCTCCACCACCGAAAGAGAAAAACCACAAATCGCCTGCCCTAGCTTCCCGTCTTTGCACCATGGCAGGAAGGGGCGACGACGGTCATATTTTTCTCGAAGGCGAGTGTCGATGGCTTTTTTAACGGTTGTCTGTTCTCTAGTCGGAGGACTTGGAACTTCCCCGATTTCTGGTGTTGTGTCGGCAGCTACCTCCGGCAATTGGGGCAGTCGTCTCGTTTCAGCCGTGCTGCGGACGCTGGATGAGCTGGGGGGTGCTGGGGTTTCAGGCTTCTGGTGCTGGTCCCGGTGGAGTCCCCTCGGGAAGTTGTTGAATCTTTTGGTCCAGATGTAGTTAGCCGATAGGGAGTTTCTAGATCTTGTGTGTGGGTCGTGGACTTGGCCTTCTTGGTTGGATTCCTAGTGCTCTGTATTCGTTCGGGGGCGATTCGGAGTGGCTCGGCAGCTGGTGGAGAGGGTTTTATTCTAGCTTAGTTTTTTTTTCTTGTATTTTTTTTTTATGTATTTTGTTTCTCTTCTCTCCCGTTGGGAATGTTAAGTGTATTTTTCACTAGTGAGAGTTTTTGTTTTCTCCTGTTGAGATCTTTGCGGTTGGTTCTACGCTGCTATTTGTGCATTCCTCCCAATAAAAGTCAGCTGGGTAGCTGATTCTTCGACTAACTAGTTGGCTTCTAGTTTGTCATTATGTGTTTATTTATAAAAGTCTATCATTTTGGGGAAAAAAAGCTTCAATTTTTGTTTTCCTCCTTAATTGTCAAATCCTTTCATCTAGAAAAGGGAAATTTTTATGCATACCACACGAAATTAAAGAAAATTCGAATTTACCTTTCTATAACAAATAATTTAGAATATACCTAATGCACCAAAATGATTACGTGATTGCCTAAATACCAGTTACCCATTTGTAACATCCTCCATACCATATCTGTAACTTGGGCGCGATTTCCGCGATGGTTACCAGGAAAAAAAATCATGTATTGTAATTCGCGCAACTGTCCAAGTGGGTATATGTTGAGTTTATGTTAGTATATATTCAGTATATGTTGCAATGAAAAACATGTCTTCCATAAAAATTATGTCTTTTTTTTTAAGTTTAACGTTAAACGTACGTGAATTTATAATTTTTATTAATGATATATGTATCGTTTTTTATTAATGATATATGTTAGTATATATTCAGTATATGTTTTTTTTTTACGTACTGTTTATTTTACTTTTATTTTTTGTAAATAGTTTTACTAGAAAATAAACCATACATATATACAACAAATCCATATAAAAGCATAAAAGTATATACATAGTTATAAACATATTATAACAAGTTTCTTATATTCAATAAATGTTGCAATAATATTCTAATATACCAAAACAACAAAAAACAACAAATTGCTCATTTGCAATTTCGTTTTCAACAAAAAAATCTTCTAATACCCCAAACATAAACTATGAATAAACATTTAAAACGGAAAAAAAGA